CCCTTAATACATCACAGGACTTTTTGTTTTGCCTGGAACACTTCATGAAACTAGCACCCATGTTGGGAATCATAGCAGGACACCCTTCCAATCTCACTGAGATCTTGGTTCTTAAGTGGGCCTCACACCACTTTTGTAGAATCTAGGGAAATCAAAAGTCTAGTGAGAAGTTGTCTGGTAGAAATACTTCTGTTATGAGGGAATACCACAAAGGGACAGAGGAGGACAGGGGGCAAGAAAGCTGAGCTATTACAGTGAACAATGAACACTTCTTATCACTTGCTGCCTACCAGGACTCTTCCTTATAACCACCTATAAGATAGAAATCATTATAACCTCCATTGTACAGATGAGGGAATTGCACAAAGAGGTGTGACAACTTACCCAAGGCCACACAGCTCATTAATGTCTGAGTGTTGAATTCAGGTAGTCTGGCTCCTTTACAATTGTGTTGTACTTGCTCCCATTTAGGTGGGAATTTGTAGTATGAGAAGGGCAGAGATGGCAGAAGATTGTTGTTGTTTTTCAGTCACTAAATCGTGTCTGACTCTTTGCCATCCCATGGACTGCAGCACGCCAGGCTTCCCTGTCCTTCACTATCTCCCTGAGTTTGCTCAAACTCATGTCCATTGAGTCAGTGATGCCATCCAACTATCTCAACCTCTGTCTCAACCTCTCCTTCTCCTGCCTTCAATCTTTGTATGTATATATATGTAAGATTATATCATAGTTATCCAAACAGCATAAAAAGTTAAAAACACCAATTTAGATTTGATTTATAGTTTATTCTACATTTACTGATGCATACTGTACAAGGAGCTGTGTTAGATGCTGGGGATTCAGATGTTGTAAACAATACAACTTACATGATTCTTGTCCCAACAGGACTTACAGTCCAGTGGAAGGCACACAGAAGGGGTTAGTGTATTTTAGCACAGAATAACATGCTCTTCTGGGCAAGGAGGCACGGAAGACTGTGAGAACAGGGAGACACCTGACCTAAACTTAGGATAACCCTTGGACATTTTATAAAGTAATTTCACGTCTATGTGATGCTTGAAAGAAGGAGCAACTGGTATGAAGTTATTTCAGAGGGATCACATATTCTTGTGTCTTATTCCAAGCCAAACCCGTGGTTTGAAATTCTAGCAAGGTTGGGAATGGCCTGACCACTGCACAGTGTGGTCCCTCTCTTGAAGCTTCTCCTCCAGGAATTATGGGCTTCCATCCTCCCTAGTCTCTGCCCCAGGCTTGGTGCAGATGCAGTCATATCTCCTTGACTGGCAGTCTCCACACTCTTCAGCCACACTTAGCTTGATCCTGGGCATGGCAGGAACAGGAACACTCCCCATAAATCCCATGTGCTTCCCTGTATTTCCAAGCCCTGTAGCAGTTGGTGGAACAATGTGACTGACTCTGGCCAAAGGGTTATAAGCAGCAGTAATATGTGTATCGTTTATGACACAAATTTACCCTTAGAGAAATGAGTATGCCTCCAGCAGTGTAGGTCATTCCCTACACCCTCACTTTCATTGGACAATATATTTATCACTCAGGGTCTAGTTAGGAAAAAGGAAATCATGCTGGTTATTTCGACAGAATTTAATACAGGGGATTGGTTTAACAGGCATCAGAGGGCTCCAAAGCAAAATGAGAACACTGAGATAACTCAGAGAGAGTAACAATAGGAAGTGTGTCTCACCTCTAGGGCTGTAAGAACACAGGGACAGAGTGGACCTTGTTGAAATCTGAAAGTTTGGAGCAGGAGATTCCCATGGTGCTGGATAGATCTCTGAGAAGAGGGAGCTGCTTGTTGCTGGTGATGCTGTGGGAATTCATAGGAAAATCCTTGCAGAGCTGAAACTCAGACCTCTGAGAAGTAGATGTTCCTGGCTAGTGTTGGTGCCCCTGAAGGGTATGTTGAAGGTTTTTCTGGCTATGCAAAAAAAAGAAGAAAAGAGAGAGGTGAAAAAAAAATTGCTGGAGGTGCCAGAATGAAGACCCATTACTGAGAAGACTTTGAAAGTATCAACAAGCAAATCAAAAGGGTAGAGTGCTTCTCCTCACTCCAGGCTTGCAGTCTTTCTCTCTCTAGTGCCCCCCTACTGGCAGGTCCCAACATGGAGCCAACTGATAAGAGATTAAGAGTTTGTACAGTCCCATCCCCAACCTCAAAGAGCAGAACATAGAAAGGTAGATTTCTTGGCTGAGAGACTAACTAGATAGGCATCATCATATTTTTAATTTTTGATGCATGCTAAGTCACTTCAGTAGTGTCTGACTCTCTGCGACCCTATGGACCATAGGCCACCTGGCTCCTCTGTCTGTGGGATTCTCCAGGCAAGAATACTGGAGTGGATTGCCATGACTTCCTCCCCGGGATCTTCCCAATCGAGGGATCGAATCTGCGTGTCTTATGTCTTCAGCATACTAGTGATTCAAAGTAAATTAAATAAGACATTGGTTAAAATAATATTTTGATGATTTAATAGCTTTATAAAACATATAGTTCTGATTTCATATCAAACTGGGACTTCCCTAAAAACAAAATATCAAATCACCATCAACTGACCTTTATTTAAAGTGCTTCCTCTGTGCCAAGCACTTCACTCAGCTGTTCTGTGGTTATCTCAGTTACTCTTTATTTAAAGATGGGAAAATCTGAGGCTTAGAGAAGTGAAACACCATCCTCAAAGTCACAGCTTCAAAGCAATGGAGATGATGAGATTTGTATTGGCAGCCCGAGGTCAGAGCCTGAGCTCTCAGCCACGTCTCTACACTTCTCCATCCCCTTTACCACTTAGATGACATACTGGTTCCTCTTTTCGCCATTTCCTAGGGGTGACTCTTGCCAGAATGTTTTGCTTATGCCATGCCTTGGGGCCAGCTGGCATTCTCACGTGAAGCATTCAGCACTTTAGTAACCAAATACCCACCAGCGAGGGCCACAGTGGACTCATCCTCAGGTGAGCAGTCACAGCACACTGGAACAACAGAACTGCAGTGAAGGTCTAACCAGATGTACGAATCCCTTCTGAAACATTTCAACAAGTGGTTGTCTGGACTCTACTGAAACAAGTTTCATGACTAGTAATATTTCACTGTGCAATGTGGCCTCTCTATTTTTAGCCAGCCCTAGTAAATAAAAAGTTCTCACTTGCAGAGAGTTAAAAGCTATTACTCTGCAAATTCAATTTGAAGATTTTTTTATCTTTCTCTCTTAAGCAACACAGACAGTTTTGCAAATGTTTGAAGGAAGCTGGCATATCCCTTTTCCCTGGTATTATGGTGAGGAGCTCATGTACTTGAAGGTAGCAACAGTCTCAAATATGGCAGAGTGAATCTTGTTGTTCAGTCGCTCAGTCGTGTACGACTCTTTGGGACCCCATGGACTGCAGAATGCCAGGCTTCTCTGTCCTTTACCGTTTCCCGGAGCTTGCTCAAGCTCATGTTCATTGAGTCAGTGATATCTTCCAAATCTGGTCCTCTGTCATCCCCTTCTCCTCCTGCCTTCAATCTTTCCCAGAATCAGGGTCTTTTACAGTGAGTCTGCTATTTGCATTAGGTGGGCCAAAATATTGGAGCTTCAGCTTCAGCATCAGACCTTCAATGAATATTCAGGATTGGTTTCCTTTAGGATAGACTGGTAGGATCTCTTTGCTGTCCAAGGGACTCTTTTCCAACACCACTATTTGAAAACATCAATTGTTCAGCGCTCAGCCTTCTTTATGGTCCAGCTCTCACATCCATACATGACTACTGGAAAAACCATAGCTTTGACTATACGGACCTTTTTGGGCAAAGTAATGTCTCTTTTAATACACTATCTAGGTTTGTCATAGCTTTTCTTCCAAGGAGCAAGCGTGAGCAGAGTTTAGATTTGCCAGTGAGGGAGACACGTGTAGAGGATGGCTTCTTGGTAGTTAAAGCACAAGTTTTATAATGAGATTAAATTCAATAATTTCCTGTTGATTAGTTCTGTGACCCTTAGCAAGTTGTTAAACCCAGTGGGGATGCTAGACAGTGTTGTTGTGGGATTCAATCAGCTAAGCTTGTAGGTGCTTGCTATGGCCACAGAGTAGATGCTCGGGAAATGAGATCCATGAAGAGTATTGATGAAAGATGCTAATTTTATTTTGCACATAAAGTTTTGAAAATGTCTCTTTGTGGCAGTAATTCTCACCTAAAGATCATCCCATTTCATCCCATTGATTTTAGGCTTATATAACAGATTACTCAATCTCCTGAACAGACAACCTCAGTCTACTGAAAAAGCTGAGATATATATAATTTGGAACCTGAAGACTTAAATCAAGATCTGGTTCTGCCTCTTGTTCTATGATCTTTAGTACACTGAGCGTTTGTTTTATTACTTATAAATGCACCAGCATAGCTGAAATGCCCACCATGAAATATTATGGAGCAATCAGAGGCAACAGATTAGAACACAGAGCAGACTGAATGGATCTGAAATCAGAGTTCTGAGTTAAAGAAAAAAAAGTAATCAGCATGATGGAAAATATAACATTGCCATTTACGCAAAATCAAAACAACCACACACAACAAATAACACCCATGCAAGCTATAGAAATCCAATGTATTGCAGTGAGAGCAGAGAATGCAAACTATTCGGGAGATTTGAAAAAGCATCAAAAATAAAGACAAGAGGGGTCTAAAGAAATCTGTAATCAGTAAATTAATTAATTAATTAATTAATAACATGGGAAGAATGATGCTTCCCTACCTTCCTTACAAAGTTATTCTGAGGATCTGATCAGATTATGCATAGGAAAGCAGAAGTTAATTTACCATTCCCATTATGATCCCCAGACTGGACAAATGACCAGAGATAGCAGTTCCCCCTGGATCTTGGGCAGGAAGCCATGAGCAGGGCAGGGCTAGGTGGGATGGTGAGATGACATCAGGGCTCCTCGTGAAGGAGGGGCAGGCTCTCCCTCTCCACTTGATGGCACAGCCAGAGGCAGCATCAGCTTCCTCCCATGGATCCGCTGTGCACAGCCTCCTCAGGCCCTCGGAAGAAGAGACCCAGGCAGGTGGGTGCCTCAATGGCCTCCCCTCCTCATGACATCAAGTTTCAAAATTTGGTCCTTTTCATTTTGGAAAAGAAAATGGGAACCACCCGCAGAAACTTCCTCATGGAGCTGGCTCGAAGGAAAGGATTCAGGGTTGAAAATGAGATCAGGTAAGACATCATGAATTTCAGCTTGTAAATAAGCAGGGCTTTTGTGAACAGCTTCTTTGGGAACCCAAGGAATCTGTGTTTTCCTCTGCAAACAGAAGAGGTGATGTTCCCACTGGAGAACAGGTATGAGATCAAAGAACAAATCTGAGGCAATTACTTAAGGGAAATGAGATCAGTGGGGATTTGATACAATTATATTGAAACGAGTTGGCACCAAAAGATAGAGTAATTTTTTTTTTTTTTTGCCTTTCATTGTTATGAGATGAAGTATCAAGGAATGATAAACAGAAACCTAGTTGGAAAGTTCAGTGCTGAAACCACCGAGGTTTACTCTTGACTGAGCTGAACAAAAGCACCACTGAGTCCAAACAAAAACTGTCAGCTGCTTGGAGGCAGAAAGAATGGTTTGGTTGGTTGGTCAGCAAGCTGCACATCTGGCTGGGCTGAGGTGGGGAGTGTCTGTGATGGGCTAGGACTGTAGTTGCTCACCACAAGCACCCAAATGTGGCTTTGATCATGCTTTTCTGAACTGCAGTCTGAGTGGGATTCATAGAGAGACGGATGCTGGTTAAAATTCAGGGGTGGCTCTGTCCAAGGGTGAAAGACACCTTGATGAGAGTGATGAGCTCAGAGCCCAAATAAGAAAGCAACTGAAGCAACCATGCAGGGTGCCTCAAATGTTCACCCACTCACATCCCAGGCTGGCCTTGCTCTTTTTCTAACAGTTATGTAAGTTCTTCACGGGTCTCAAATAGATGGAAGAGAAAACCAAACAAAATCCAGACACAAATGGTTTTAGAACCTTGGCATAAATAATTCCAAACAGAATTGCCAGAGGGCTTGTAGTGAATAAACAATGATAGTTGATGCAATTGGCTGGCCTTGATTGTCCAAGGAATAGATTGATCATATTTCTTTTTTTCAGGAAAATGTATAAGAATTCTATGTGAAAATAAATTTTTGTCTTGAAAAAAATAAGTAAAACTGACAAGCATATCCTGATAAAGTGCCAGTTACAAATTGCTAGAGAAACATATGTCAAAAGTCAATCATCAAATATAAGTCAAATCTCATAGAAACACTTAATTTTTTCTACTAAAATGCCCCATTCAGAAATTCCTGAGTCGCCCATGGATTTTCTCACCCAATTTCTCTACACTTCAGCAAGAGCTGACTGGTTTAGTTACAGGCACAGCTATGAGTAATGCACACGGTGGCTGAGGCAGGTAGGTGGAGAGACGACTGGAGGCAAGTTTCTTCTTTTGACAAGAAAACCCAAGAGGCAACTCTGCTGCCAGGGACTGAGCCCAGCTGCTAGGGTGACAGAGGAAACTGGTGCACAGCGAGCCAACTGCTGCTGTGATGTGACTGTGGCAAAGTTCCCAGGCTGGCTGCTCAGAAGACACATTAAATACAAATGTGTTTTATGACACAAATATAAACCACAGGAAGCAGACGTTCTAGCTCTCAAACAGAATTTCCATAGTTAGCTATGTAGACTTTAATTGGAAAGGACAATGAAGATTATTACAGGGGAAAATCTCTAGATAAAAAATCTCTAGACCTCAGAGTCTGACTCTGACCCTTCCCAGCCATGTGATGTGGGCAAGACCCCCCTCTCTCCTCTCTGACCTTAGATTCCTGATAAATGGTCTAGTCTGCCTGATGTGATACCAGATGCCATGATGGATATCAGTGTACTTGGATAAATTGGAACAGCTATGTAAATGTAAAGTAAATGTAAAGTGTGGCTGTTTTCTCTTTACTTAGCTGAATCCATTGACCTTTCTAGTAAAATCCTAAGGAGAGGGTTCTCTTTCCACAATATGAACTAGGTCAAGTGACATAAACCAATAGAACAAAGACAGGAAGGAAACCCATCAAACTGGTTATTTGTGGGCATGAGGTAGTAGTGAGAGATTATGGCTGCTTTTATGCTCTCTGTTTTCCAAATTTTTTACAATGAACATGTTTTTTAAATGAAAATAAAGGAAATTGTTATTTTAAAAGAAAGGATACTTCTCAAGAGGAACAGCTAGACCTCACCATTTGATATAAAAGATTCAGAGAAAGAGGAGCTAAAAAAAGTTCTGAAAGTAGACAGTAATCTCCATAATTTCTAGTGCATTCTTTGGCTGCTAGGAGGGTTAAATCTGAGGAAAAATCTGATCCCTACTTTACCTGAACCTGAACACACAGCTTAGAATTGGTGTGCCTGAATGCATCGAGCTATCTGGAACTATTTAATTTTCCAGCATATGTATACTGTATCTTTATAGTTGGATTGGACTTCATTAATATTTATGTTATATTGCAAAAGACATAGGAAGTACCAAGGAAGTACCAAGTACCATAGGAAGTACCAAGTACTTCCAAGGAAGTACTTCCTAAGAACCATAGGAAGCTGGTTCTTAAAATATGAATAAAGGGCGGTATCAAGTTCTTTGAGGCATTTTGCACATTAATTAAAAAGGTTACTGAATTTTATTCCATGGCCAACACCCTAAATTTTAGAGCAACTTCATAATATTCTAGTACTATGGGACAAGGTAGAAAAGGGTCAGAATCTAGTGTTTGTCACGTTCTTCTTTTATCCTTGATTCCAATACTTTGAGCTGTTTTAAAACTTTATCAGTATCAACTCTCCTCTTTTTACATACTCACTAAGCTTACCATCTGTTTTTCTTGACCTAAATAGTTGATGCTGAAGAAGAAAGAGCCAGATAGGAAGGGTGGCTTCCCATGGTTACATCAGCCAGCACATGATCACTTTTTCTGAGTTCCACTGTTCAAGTAGTAGAAACCCATCAGAGGATACATTTCCCCTGCTTGCACCTCCATAGTTTTTCTACAAGGCTATCTTTGAAAGGCATTGTTTGAATGAAAGCAAAATATACCACCATGCCATCACATGTTAAGGGTTCTGTTAGTACCCAAGTAGAAGGCTTGAGCCTTGTGAGCAAAGAGTTTAAAATCAGACAAGAGAGCCAGGAATTGTACTTTTGTTGTCACTTAGCATGAAAAGATGGCATAATGTATTTTCCTGGCATGTACTCATTTTCATCTTTTTTAAAAAATTATAATTTTCCTACCCAATACTTTACTTCGAGCCTTCTTGTGTTTTTCATGCTGAACCCTCTTCCCTTTTGCAATAGTCATTACTGAATAAACTCTATTCTTACTGCCTTAATGAGTGTCCAGCTTTGTTTATCTTTGACAATGCCCTATCACTTCAGATTTTTGGTGTTTGAAATAAAAATATTAAAAGTCATTGTTTGGAAAATAAACTGAACACCAGATGAAAGAGCTATTATCTGCTCCAGAAAATATGATATTGAACTGGTCCTTCTCTAGGCCTCTTCTAAGTTTAGTGTCCAAACACATCTTCACTGGTTTCTCATTATGTTTTTTTTCTCACTCTTTCTCCTCCAACTTTGAATGTCTTCTCCGTACACTTCTCTGCATGTAAGACCTAAGACCCCTGGAAGCCTTGCTAGGGGAGGGAACTTCCTTCCTGGACACAGGGTGATCCATGGCTTAGGGTTGCCCCCTGACTCTTCCACTTGGCTTTTCTCCTTATCCCTCCCCAACTCCACAGGGAAAGAGTGTCATCTCTGCCACTGTGTATACCTCATCTTCATACTTTGGACAATTTTCTTACACAGAGTAGGCTTCAGGAAATATTTGCTCAAAGAATACTTTATCTGGAGAATATAAAACCAAGCAAAGGAACTTATGACTACCAAGAGTAATTTTTGTCACTGAATTTTTTTTACAATGTTTGGTTACCTTTTGGTTACAGTATTACCTTTGTAATCAATGAAATAATGAAGACTTTATTTTTATAAGTTCAAGAGCATCCAGTGTAGACTCTAGTCCTGTTGTTGTTCTTCAGTCCCTAAGTTGTGTCTGACTCTTTGTGACCCCATGAACTGCAGCACGCCAGGCTTCCCTGTCTTTCACTATCTCCTGGAGTTTGTCCTGCTTTGGTTCAAATTACTTATTTCAAAATTTGTGAACTTTAAATTAATGTAAATGTTCATAGACTCATTTAATGTGAGCCAAAAAAATCAAGGCAAGACCCTCTCAGTCTTCAGTATATCAAGGGCTGGAAATAAAAGCTTGTCTTTCCTGGTGCCAGTGTTAGTCACTCAGTCATGTCCGACTCTGCAACTCCATGGACTGTAGCTTGCCAGGCTCCTCTGTCCATGGAATTCTCCAGGCAAGATACTGGGATACTGGAGTGGGTTGCCATTCTGTTCTCCAGCAATCTTCCCGACCCAGGAATAGAACCCAGGTCTCCTGTATTGCAGGTAGATTTTTTTTTTTACCATCTGAGCCACCAGGGAAGCCCCATTAGAGTGTGGGATAACACCAAATAAAACTACCTTGATTTTTTTCAGTGTCAGGGATTCTGAAACAGATCAGTTGCTAGGGAAATTGGCAGGAGGATTTTTTTTAAAAAACTGTAAAAAAAACCCCAAACAAACTGTAAACACCCCAGTTCAACTGTAAATAAATATTTTTGAAGTTATTGTTGACAAAATAAGTCCTATGTCAGATGGAAAGAATTAAGAATGACTTCTCCAGGGAAAGAAAACAGTTTTAAAGACAAAGAAAAAAGCAGGTGACCATCCATGAGAACTGGGGGAATCAGATAGAGATATCAGTCTGGCTTCTCACAAAAAAAAAAAAAAAAAGATGGCTGCCTATTTCTTCATGAAGACTTTTTCTAATTGTGTCAAGAGGGAACTAGAAAGAGAAAAAGAACTAGCAAGAGAAACTAGGGGAAGAAAATAAAAAATCAGGGATACTGGTATCTCAGAAAAAAAATCAAAACTGAGATTTGTGAGTTAATCTCTCAACTTAGAGCTTTCTGAACATCTAAGGGTCATACTCATGATTCTTGTGATATCTTTTATCATGTGTATTATTATGTAATTACTGTGTTTCTTTTAACTGCCCCTAAAATGTGTATTTCTGGGACCTAGGTGAGATTTACTGAATCTGAATCTCTTGTAACAGGACCCAGGCATATGAATTTTAGGCCAGCATCCTTGGTGCCTCTAGCAGACACTAGAATTTTAGAAACATTCTTTCAGAGCTATTCAGTTAAGTTCAGTCACTCAGTTGTGTCCAACTCTTTGCAACCCCATGGATTGCAGCACACCAGGCTTTCCTGTCCATCACCAACTCCCAGAGCTTGCTCAAACTCATGTCCATGGAGTCTGTGATGCCATCCAACCATCTTATCCTCTGTTGTCCATTTCTCCTCCTGCCTTCAATCTTTGCCAGCATCAGGGTCTTTTCCAATGAGTCAGTTCTTCACATCAGGTGGCCAAAGTATTGGAGCTTCAGCTTCAGCATCAGTCCTTCCAATGAATATTCAGGACTGATTTCCTTTAGGATTGACTGGTTGGATCTCCTTGCAGTCCAAGGGACTCTCAAGAGTCTTCTCCAACACCATAGTTCAAAAGCATCAATTCTTTGGTGCTCAGCTTTCTTTCTAGTCCAACTGTCACATCCATGCATGATCAATTCATTGTACCGGTGGTCTCTCTGTTGACCATTACTATGAATTTTGCCATGAGCTGGGCACCAGACATGATCATTACCTGGCAGATTATAACACTGTCCCTGCCCTCAGGGATGCCAAGGACCAAGCCAAGTACATTTCAATTCAGCACCACTTAAAGAAGAGGGCACTGCATGGTTTTCCCTGGGGGAAGCTGAAGGCCAAAGCCTAGTTCAGAATCTTTGTAATTGGTTCACAACTTCCCAAACCTAGTCCAAGGCACAGTTAATTGGTCATGGCTAAGAAACCAGGTGACTTAGAGAAGGGGTATTTCAGGAACGACCATCTCAGCAGGACCTTGGGGTCTTTAGAAGACGTTGAGGATGGCTGCCTGAAGCTTGCTGCCAATTTTATCTTAAGAAGAAAGCCCAGGCCTTCGGGGGCAAGGCAGAGACTGCCTCTGCTCTAATCCCAGGTTTATTTGCCTTTGAAAATGACATTCATGCATATTTGTTCCCTTACACAGAAAACTAACAAGAAACAATTAATGACAGAAAGTGAGAAAATATAGAAAATTACTTAAAACAAACAAAACTTCACGCAGGGGTCTAACCACAGTCTAGTAGAACGTTAAGAGATTGCTCAAGTCATGCACACCTGGGTTTGAATCTTGCCTTCATGTGACCTCTTCAGGCCTTGGTTTTCTCATCTTCATTGTGATGATGATGGTGATGTTGATGGTGATGATATTCATTCTGATGTTAGTCCTTTTGAGAAAAGGAAATGTTCTCACTGGAAAAAGCACAGAGTCACAGAGGGGTAGCTCAGTGTGGCTCAACACATGGGTTTTATTTTATTTTTTGGCCATGCCACGCGGGATATGGGATCTTAGTTCCCGACCAGGAGTTGAACCCATGCCCCTGCTAGTCTTAACCACTGGACCATGAGGGAAGCCCCCAGAACACAGGTTCTAGATTAAAATGGACCTCAGATTAAATCCTTGCTCCACCAGTTATTAGCTGGGTGAATTTTTAATGTTTCTCAAGCTCTCTTTTCTTATTATTAGAGATAATCATACCTACCTATCTCATAAAATTATTTACAATTAAATCAAGAAGTGTATGAAATTAATCTACAAGGATTCTGGCACATGGTGATGTTCTATTAGTATCTTCAATACCAGAGTGCTCAGGGCAGAGAGAAAACCATCATACCAGCAAACGGCTGTCACAACACAACAGTAAGACATTGTGTGCAGAACACACCAGAGCAGGTGACCCTCCTTGGTAATTCTGTCTGCTAATAGCTCAGCATAGACAGTGAAAAAATACTTTATTGTGGTGGTCTGCAATGGAACCCACAATATCTCTGAGATACGCCTGTACAATGATGTCAAAGTTTCTAAGACTGACTTTCAATCTCTTACTTTGTGGGAACCAGTGACAAACAGTAATGACTTCTGAATAACACAATGTGAATGTTTGATTTTTTTTTTGTTTTTGTATGTACTTTATTGTTGTTGTTGTTTTGTTTGCTAGTTGCTTAATAAGCAGGGGTTGGAAATCCAAATCGGAATCTTCTTTCATATGCTGCATAGCTTATATTCCTGAATAAGCTTATATGAATTCAGTAGGAGATGTACATGGTCCTCATCCAATAGGGTGAGCTCAGACACCCCCACACTGTCCTGCGGAGTCCCAGGTGAAGAGGGACTGAGGGTGGTGGTACATGACTGGATGATGAGGGGGCTAAATTTAGAAGTTGAGCCCCAGAGCTCTTCCTCAGCACACCCATCCCCCTCTGAGGTTTAGACAAAACCTTATTTAGAAGAATAATAGTACTAATAAGAATAATAAACAATATAATAATATCATTTCTCTTCAAAGGGCAGAAACATAGAAAGAATAATATTGTCTAACCCTACTGATTCTTCTGTGGTTTTCTTCAAGTCTTGAGATTGACAATCTTCCAAGAAGTTTACTATAAGTAGTCTTTGGAATTATATGCACCTGGAATAGGGAAGCAGCTAGCTGTCTTCCCTTGGCCCTTTTAAAAGGTGATTTTATCTCGACTATTTTCTGCCTGGGCCTGCTGCACATCCTGCCATCTAGATGGTCTCAGCTCTGGTTTCCAGTCCCACTTCCCTCCCAGTGCTAGCCCCAGATCCCAACTGTCAGCCAGATATTTTCATTTGGATCTCCAGCCATCCTTTCAAGGCAGCTTGCCTGAAATAAATTTCAATTTTGTTCCCCCACCCCTTCCTCCAAAGATATGGAACTTCCTAAGTCCCTATTCCTACCAAAAGTGATAACACTTGAGTGTGATAGATAAGCTGGAGTAATAGTTGAGTCTATTCCCCACTTCACCTTTTATAGGTGATGCTAGCTGTCCATCATATGTCTCCTTTGCCTTCCTTTCTAGCACTGTAGGAACCAGACTGAGGTTTAAATCATCTTATATCTGGTCCAGTGATTCATCTTCTTAAGTAGCTCCCCAACCCATGATTCCCCCTCCAAATCATTGTGTATACCAGATTAGTCTTTTAAAATAACACTGCAATGCTATCCATGTCCTGCTCACAAAAAATTTCAGTGGCTCCATAATCCCAGAACATAAGATCCAGCTTTCTCAACCAGGCTTCTAAGACCCTCTGTAATGTGGTTACCCCACTTGCTCAGCCACGTCTACAACTGCTTCCCAACAGAAATTCTTCATTCCAATCCAGGCCACTCTCCTTCCTTTTCTCTGACCTTTGAACCTTTTCTTCCAGGAGGATCTAAAGTGCTACCATCCTGGTACCTTATCCCTCCCATGCATCCAGACTAGGCACAAACAAATTCTGCTTTTCTACAAAGCCATCCACCTCTCCCAACCCACACTAAATTATTTTCCCTCTTTGTATACCACTTGAAGGTCTTGCCTATGTCATAATTTATTAACCAGCTGTTTCACAGAAGATGCTGATGCCCAGAAACTTTCCTTTTCTTGTTTGGTACCCAACCCCTTCCCGTCACCACCACAGGGAACCTAGGACTGTGAATAGAACAGTGAACCAACAAATGCTCAGTGAATCTAAGAGTCAATCAAGAAAAGGAGAAGGAGGAAGAAGTCAAGCAAGGGAAGTGGGAAAAAGAAGAAAAAATAATTCTATTTTTTTCTCTTCAATGCCTATATATGCTATTTGCTTTTTCTATTTCCCAGATTTGTAGACCATTTAAACTGAAGGAGCCCTAAAAATTATTAGTTCCAGTGATATAATGCTGATTTCGAAGACTTGTTTAAAAATAGAAATAACATACTGACCAGAAAAGACAATCAAAAAGGATAAATATCATTTACCAGCTGTGTGACCTTCAGGATGTCCTTAACCTCTCTGTTCTTCAGTTTCCTCATTTTTGAAGTGTGACTAATATAATATTTACTTAAGAAGCTATGTGACTATTAAAAGAGATGGTGTATGTGAAGTACTTGGACAGTGCTAAAACATGCTAAGTGCTCAGTGCTTTATTAGGGAAAAGATACAGGGTCTTACAACACAGAGTTGTGCTTTGAAAAACATGCAAAGCGCTATTTCCCAAAGGCTGGTCACCACCTATTAACGGCTTGTGAGGTCAATTTAGTGGGATATTATATCCATATCAACATCTACATCTATATCTATTTTGGGTCATGATATAAAATGTGTTTCTAGCTGTGGATCACATACAAGTTTGAAAGGCACCAGATTAAAACCCTCTGCAAAATAAAAAGGAAATAGCACACCAAAGTCACAGGCAGAGTGCAAGTTTCTAATTTAAGAATGATTTCATCCTCCATCTGCTCTGGACCTTTGTTTTCAAATAACATCACAATCTTACTAATGTTTTCTCAAGTTTTCTTGCATCTGCTATGCAACATAGACCACGTTGCTATGCTAATTGAAGTCGAATTCCCTGGCATGGACACCTAGGTTCTCCATGCCTATGGTCAGGTCTACTGTGCATCTTTCTCCATTGGATGGAATGCTCTGAACACCTCAGGGAAAAGAGGAGAGGTTCTAATTTTGAAAGTCTCTGTCTTATTCCGCAGTGCTTCTGTCACCCACGTTGTAGCGGAAAACAACTCTGGTTCAGAGGTTCTCGAGTGGCTTCAGGTACAGAACATAAGAGCCAGCTCACAGCTAGAACTCCTTGATGTCTCCTGGCTGATCGAAAGTATGGGAGCAGGAAAACCAGTGGAGATTACAGGAAAACACCAGCTTGTTGTAAGTGTCCTGAAAGTGGTTGTATGTGGGCTATAGACTCAACAGATTTGAGTTAAACCCCAGGTTCCCTGCTTGCTCCCTGTGTGAACTTTGGCAAGTCACTTAGCTCTTCTGAGCTTCAGTTTCTTCCTTTACGTTATGAGAACAGTAGTGCCTGTCTGTCTTGTAAGACGGCTTATGAGGATTAGAATAACACACATGTAAAGTGCTTAAGACTGAGCCTGATCTATATATGCGCTTAATAAATGGTAGCCATTTTTACAAACAAGTCTATACAAAAATAATTCAAAATATTGAAGTCTTGATGTTCTAGCAGCCAGAAAAGTAGAAGGTTCTTATTTTTTTTCTTACCATGATCATTTATAAAGAAAAAAATTAAACTCTTTGTTCCAAACCCTTCACCAATGGACCCTAACTATGTAAGTTCACAGAAAAGGAAAATGATGTTTAATCGGTAGTTCTTTTTCATGTAACTCTTTCAGATCACAAAAATAGTACATGTTAATTATAGCAATTTCAAATATTAAAAATGCATATAACATAAAACTTGAGCCTCCTATAGTATTATTCTCTTTCCAGAGACAATTACCATTGAACTGCCTTTTATTTTTCTTCATACACATCTATTACTATTAATTTTTTATTTAAAATAGATGTTTATACATTTGTTTAGGTGAGAGCAGACTATTCAGCTACCCCAAACCCAGACTTCCAGAAGACTCCACCACTTGCTGTAAAAAAGATCTCCCAGTACGCGTGTCAGAGAAGAACCACTTTAAACAACTATAACCACATATTCACGGTAATGGAGCTTTACAACAACACCTGTAGCAAACGTAAGGCTAGCTGCTTCTTTCTGTGGATCTCCAATTAAATTATGAATTTTCTTGAAAATCTAGGAAGGTTTCCCCCATTCTTACCCACTCCCCTAACATGATCTCTGGTTCCTCTTCTGTCAAGAATGGGTCTCCTTCTATTATGGAAATAGACAATATATTTAGAGCATATTCTTTAGAGAAAGTAACCTACAATTTATTGGGAGTTGTCATTAATGGATGCAACACTTATCAAAGGCAAATATTCTGAATAACTAAATACATACTGTAATTAGTCCACTACATAGTAAGAGCAAATTGCATAGAAATAGCTTTGTGCATAAACAGCTTTGTTGGGAAGACATAAGATTGAGAGTCAGCAAACCTGGGTTCAGCCTGATATTCACTATCTTGGGCAAGTCAGTTCCTATCTCTGAGTCTGTTTCCTCATCTGCTTAATAAAAAATTAGGTAGATCATCTCTAAAGCCCATTCAGCCCTGAAGTTTCATAAGTATTCTTCAAAATGACCCGAACAAAACCATAACTGCTTATCCTCCAGCCTACAACCAGTAGTCAAATGGATAAAACATGCATTAGTAGATTGAATACAGAACTTCTCCTTTCTAAAATTCTAGCCCCAGGTGTGCAAGGAAGACCAGGAAATTGCAGCTACTGGGCACCCTGAGGATCAAGCCACTCAGCTGTAGCTACTTCCTCCTCTGCCAGAAATGCAAACATGCCCTACCTTAAATAACCCCCTACCTTAAATAACCCTGCCTGCGGGTTTGTGCTACTTCTGATCATACCCATTCACTCAACAAGTCTATACTAAGTGCTGACTCTGTTTCACCAACAAGCTAAGAGATAGGATTTTCCAGTGATCCAGGCAGACTCCTGGCCACAGGCTGGTGGGAAAGTCAGCAAACAGGGAAGGATCTTGTCAAGTGATAACTAGGAAGATGCAGTGAGCAAGAAGTCATTTTTCAGTTAAATCATTCCTGAATATCTAATGGCAGAGAATTCCAAGTTTCCTTATGAAACATGCTGTGGTCTGTCTTTTCAGCTCAACTCCCCTCATCCAACCAGTGAAAAAGTATAGGACATCCAATCCTGACCTTTGAGGAAACAGTCACGAGGCATACTAATATTTAACAGAAAGCAAGAGAAATTTGCAAGGGACTGCTGGCTTGGAGGCTAGGGGCTAGGAAACAGACTATATTTTGCTCATCTGGTTTTATTCTTTAGGATGCCTTTGAGATACTGGCTGAAAATTCTGAGTTTAAAGAAAATGAAGACTCTTATGTGACATTTATGAGAGCAGCTTCTGTACTTAAATCTCTGCCATTCACAGTCATCAGTATGAAGGACACAGAAGGAATTCCCTGTCTGGGGGACAAGGTGAAGTGTATCATAGAGGTAAGGGTGAAAGGTGATTCATTCCAGCTCCTAATAGGTAGCTACTGAGGGAAGGAGAGAGATGCAGTTAATAAATTTTCCTGTTAACTATATAGATGTGGTATTCATTACTTATTTTCATTTCTAATTTATATTATATAGATGTATATTATATTATATATATATATTACATAAATAGCTACACATGTATATATGTCATTCATACCCCAATATTATCTTACTTGTAGCTATGTGGGGCCAACTAGTGAGAAAATAACTCTCCTCCATTATTAATCACAGTGAGTCTCTAATGACCTAAAAGCTCAACAGGAGGGGATGCTGTGAGTTAAAACACAGGCTGTGTGAAAAACCTCAATTCCATTCAGCAGCCATTGCGCTCCAGAATGGTAGTGGGTATGAGGGATAGTGGAGCTGATTCTGTATTTCTACCTGTGTGTTCTAAGAGGAGAGCCAGGGATGGTTAGTTAGTTATTAAATAATGTTTAAGGGTTCCCTGGCAAGGCAAATTGGTCATCCAAGAGGAAGTTTCAGTGTAGTCAGATGCAAGGCAAAGTATTCAAGGGAGGAAAATTAATCCTAACTCCATTTAGAGGAGGTTGGATGGCTCTGGGGCTTCCCAGGTGGCACAATAGTAAACAATCCACCTGCCAATGTAGAAGATGCAGGAAACGTGGATTTGATCCCGGGGTTGAGAAGAACCCTTGGAGAAGGAAATGGCAACCCACTCCAATATTCTTGCATGGAAAATTCCATGGCCAGTGGAGCTGGGCAGGCTATAATTGATGGGGTCGCAAAGAGTTGGACATGTCTGAAGTGACTTAGCATGCACGGGTGGCTCATAAGGACTTGAACTTGAATTAGCTTTTCAATAGGTCCAAAATTAACCCAATCAAATGAAAAGTTCTCATGTTTCAGCTAGTTCATATCCATTAAAAAGAAAAATATCTCAAATATTTAGACACCCTTTTGTCAGTGAACATTTTGGTTTGGTGTTCCAATCATTCTGTACCTTCCTCCCTGAGGATTATAAAGGGGTCCTTGGAAATATAATAGCCCGAGATTTTCAAGCAAGAACTGTCTTGTTTTCTCTAGATCAGCTAAGGAAACATCCTTTATGCCATAGGTATATTTAGTGAAAAATTAAGCTACTATATCTGGGGATTTGAAAATCTCAGATTGCAATTAACATCACTAGTGTAAAATGCTTTTCAAATGTCCATGCAGGAAATTATTGAAGATGGAGAAAGTTCTGAAGTTAAAGCTGTGTTAAATGATGAACGATATCAGTCCTTCAAAGTAAGTGATTTGTACATATATTTATAAAAAATGGGTTTTCAGTTGATCCTATTATTCCAAGTAGTTGTACTGATCAGCTTGAGGTGCCATAACATAAAGCCACAGACTGTGGGACTTAACACATGATTATTTTTTTCATAGTTTTAAAGGCTGGAAGTCTGAGATCAAGGTGCTGGCATAACTGGGCTCTGGTTAGGGCTGTCTTCTTGGTTTACAGACAGCCTCCTTCTCAACATCCCCTCATAAGACACACACAAGAAGAGAGCAAATTCTCTGGTCTCTTCTTATAAAGGCACTAATCCCAGCAGGAGGACCCCACCCTCATGACCTCATTTAACCTAATTACCTCCCCCAAACTCCATCTCCAGATACCATCATATTGGAGGTTAGGATTTCAACATATGAATTTGGGAGGAAGGGTCACAACTCAGTCTCTAGCAGTGATCTAGGAAGCAAATGCCTGAATAAATATGGGTGCTTGAGCTTATTGCCATGCTACGGTAAGCTTGGCAATATAAATGACCTTACCTCCCAGAGGTTGTCACTCCTGGGTACACTAGGACTGTGAGACAAAACAAACCTGTTCTTAGAGAATCAACCTGTGCTGGAAAGCTCCTCACTGCATCTTGTCTACTCTGAAGCAGGATTTATTACCTCCCAGTGTTCCCTATCTCTGAGCTGCAGTAGGCAGAGACTTCTACCAATCCGTTTGGTTCAGAAGTGATGCTCAGGCCTCAAAGGCAGTTGAGGGCAGAAGCCCAGGCTCAGAGTATAGACAGCCTGGGTTGAGTCTGGGCTCTGCCGCTTACCAGTTGTGTGATGGTGGGGAATTATGCAACCTACATGTGCATCCCTCATTAAATTGTGAGGGTGAATATGCCTGAATGTGTGAAACAGAAACCTTTGGCAGAGGATGGGTGTGGGTATGGATACCTGTTGTCATGCACAGGTATGTGCATGCATAGGTATGTGAATGCACAGGTATGTGAAGGCAATCCTTATTGGTTATACAGAATCCCTGGGTAGTTCCAGAAGCTGCCTCCGACTTCTGCTTCCTTTAGGTATACCATATGTCCTGAGACAGAAACGCCTCTGAAAAATTACCATTGCCCCCTGCTTGTCATATTCAGGAGACACTAGGTCAGAGATTTGTTTATGCTTTTTCTTAAATGCTTGACCTTGAAAAGTATCACCTTGTTGTCGTAATGACTGTTTTAGAAACTAAAGGCATGTCTTTCCCTTTGTTTCAGCTCTTTACGTCTGTTTTTGGAGTGGGACTGAAGACATCTGAGAAATGGTTCAGGATGGGATTCAGATCTCTGAGTAAAATAATGTCAGACAAAACCCTGACATTCACAAAAATGCAGAAAGCAGGTGAATTGTCTCTCCTAAAGATCTCACATAACTGTCATGGGCTGGTCAAGTTGTGGTAAAGATCTGTCAACTGTACTTCATACATCACCTCCAGTCTTGGTGATTTGGTCACTTGCTTGGCCTCTCTTCATGCTATGGCTAAAAGCCCAAGCTTTTGGAATCAGATAGACCTGGATCCAAATCCTGGCTCTTGTACTCTCCAGCTGTGTGATCTTGAGACAGTTATTTAAAATCTTTGAGCCTTCATTACCTCATCTATACATCAGTATGTAAGTAGGGAATAGATCAGATCTTGGAGGCAAAACAATTAGCTTGGCACAGAGCAAATAGGCTATGCCTGATGGCAGTTGTCATTCCTTTATCCAGATGTCAAAACTGGTTGCACCATTGATCTGTTCTTACTGAACTGACCCTTCCAGATGTTTGGGTCCGAGCTGGGTAAAAGGCATGGGTAAGGAATCCAGATCAGAAAGTTGACATAGAGAACTGGGGAGTAAATAATATTTGAACGAACTAGAGTTGTTGCTTGGCACAAATAGGGATCAGTTTCAGAAACTGTAAAACACCAGGACATATAGGGGAAACTGTGGAAACCTAGACATGGGTTTGTCTGCCCAGCCAGGACATGTTAACCTAGAAGAGAGTAGAGAGAGATATCTGAAAGACAAGGCTTCCAGAAGGTTGAAGATGGCTTGGTTACTTCCATTTATACAGGGTTCTTGTCATTTTTTTTTAATGACAAAATGTCTGGAACCAAGGTAAAAAAATGTACATTTTTTAAGCATTTACTTTTTAAAAAACATTTATTTTTAATATGCAGTAGAATATAATATTATTGGGATCTGAAAGGAAGTCATAGCCACAGTTCTGAGGACTGTGGCTTCTGAGTTATAAAAAATGAGGAAGTCATCAACATTTTTAATAATATTAAGGGGATCTTCTACAAAAGCAGGCCAGAAAAGAACAGCAACAATGAAAAGAAAACCTGCTCTCTTCTGTTTAAGTGATGGAAAGAAAGAAGCAGGAGGAGACAAAGAAAGCATTTTTTGGTGGTTCACATCAATGCTTATCAAGCATGAACTTTCAGGAGTCCAGAATAAGAATATGGGTCTTTTTTTTCCTTTAGATTCTTTTAGTTCTTATGTGGCATCTTATAAAACTTATTAGCAATCTTTCAGAGGTTAGCAACTTTATGAAAGATGACTAGGGAATTCTATGACTGTGTTGATGTATACTGTTCAGTGTTATTAACTGTAGTCACTATGCTATACGCTAGATTTGCAGAACTTATTCATCCTGTGCCCTTTGACACACATCTATCCATTTTCCCCACCTTGCAGCCCCTAGTAATTGCAATTCTACTCTGCTTCTAAGAGACATTTTGTGTGTGTGTGTGTGTGTGTGTGTGTGTGTGTGTACTAAGTCGCTTCAGTCATGTCTGACTCTTTGCTACCCTATGGACTGTAGCCTGCTTGTCTTTCATTCTGGTTTATTTCACTTAGCAAATGCCCTCCAGTTCATCCTTGTTGCAAATGACAAGATTGTCTTCTTTTTTAAGGCTGAGAAACATTCCATTGTAGGCTAATTAGTCGACAGTTAACCATTTCACATATATCAAAACTTCAGGTTGTACACCTTAAATTTATACAGTCTTTGTCAACTATACCTCAATAAAGCTGGAAAAAAGATAATGAACTGCCCCCCAGAGACCTTACAATTAGGAAATGGGCAGCCTCTGTAGGTACCCAAAGCCTCTCATTGTTAGAAAGATTCTGGCAGAGTTGGAACACTCCCTCTGGGGATCCTAGAGAAGAGAGCAGAGCCTTGTATGGAAGGACCATTAGCTGGCGCTCAGGCTCTATGGATCTCCCCTGCGCCCTGCTCCCCACCCCTCCTATGCTTCATCCCAGTTCTTGGAGATACAGCTCCCATCTCCATTACTCCTCCACTCTATGCCTTCCTCTGTGGATCTGTGGGGATAAACAAGTCATTAAAACAACTCCATCATAACCACTCTGTCGGAGCTCTCATTAATCTGTGATGGTCAGGCAAAGAAGCAATAAACCAGACCAACGGTGACATTTCCTAACTCTCCTCAGATGCAAATCTACTCTCTTCCTATTCTTGACTTTAGTTCTTTAATTCATCTATCACCTTCCAACCCCAAATCTTCCCATCCCAAATCTTTGGAGCTTATTGATCAAGAGGGCTGGTTCTTCAGTAGGAAGCCAGATTGGAATAGCATGGTTCTAGGATATAATATTGCCTCTTTCTCAGTCAGGAATTTGTAGGAAAATAGGAGCCATTGTTCACATGAAAAATTCACAGCCAAGAGAACACAGATCACCCAGTCTCTGTGGAACCGTTTGGGGTTGATGTCTGTGGCCCCGTTAGCTATGTGTGAGGGCCAAGTCCCCTCCCTGAGGGCTTGTCATTTCACATGGGACATGTCCCTTTCTCCACTCACCTGTCTATGGCCTCTCAGGATTTCTCTATTATGAAGACCTTGTCAGCTGCGTGACCAGGGCCGAAGCAGAGGCGGTTGGCGTGCTGGTTAAAGAGGCTGTGTGGGCATTTCTGCCGGATGCCTTCATCACCATGACGGGAGGATTCCGCAGGTAAATGATGATAAAACCTGCTCTTGCCTCCCCTTCAGGGCCTCCCCATGCTCAAGAGCTGTGGCACAGAAGACCTTCAGAGCTGTGTCTCCACGGCCTCATCTCCTGCAGTTCATGTTTCACTCCAACAACCCCGAGTGGCCTGTCATTCTCTGCACACACAGAGCTCTTTCTTTCCTCTGTGACTTTGCTCAGTCCTACCCTTCTGCTTGGACTGGTTTTCCTCAATTTGTCACCTGGCTCACTTCTCCTCATCCTTTAAGCTTCAATTCAGATGCCACCTTCTCCAGAAAGCCTTCCTTGACTTCCTTCTCCCCATGCTGGATGAGACACTCCTCCTCAGCGCTCCTTGGACAGCTGTCAAGTAATTTGCTTGTATTGCTTCCATGCATGTTTTCCCCACTACGTTTTCAGAACTTAGTGCTTGATGAGAGCCAGTGCGTGGTGTCTGGCACAAAATCGGCATGTGAGAAATATTGGTGAAGTCAGTGAATGAATGAATGAACTCTTCACAGAGATGTATGCAATTGTTGGATATTGAAGCCTCCATTTCAGAGACTCTTTCCATCCCACACCCTCTTCCATCTCTCCTTGTGGTCCTCTTACATGGGGGCTGTTGGCTGTGGGAGGTGACAGAGGAAGTGAGAAGAAAACACAGAATCCAAGAAGATACCTTTAGTCTAGGCCATAATTTCAAGAGTCCTATCTTGTATTATGCGAGTATAGTTCTTGGTTTGCCTGTCACAGTTGTCTCTATGTGAGTGTGTGTGCACATGTGGGCATGGAGAGGAAATAATCTTTGTCAGTTTTTAACCACCCATAGATAATCATATGGGCTCCCCTGGTGGCTCCATGGTAAAGAATGCACCTGCCAATGAGGAGATGCAAGAGACGTGGGTTCAATCCCTGGGTCGGGAAGTTCTCCTAGAGAAGGAAATGGCAACCCACTCCAGTATTCTTGCCTGGGAAATCCCACTGGCAGGCTACAGTCCTTAGGGTCTCAAAGAGACAGACAGGACTCAGCACGAAACAACAACAATACAATCACATACATACTATATAAGATTTAAAATTTTTCTGTGTCATAAATTTATTTTGTAAGGAGTAGAGCTGTGTAAACAAGGATCTTTTGTTTAAAAAGCATGTCCACTACAATATTGTAAAGTAATTAGCCTCCAACTAATAAAATAAATAAATAAATAAAAAGATTAAAAATAAATAAATAAATAAAAAGCATGTCATGAGCATTTTGTGTCACAAACCTGAAGTATGGGTCATAGAAACACAGGTGACTTTTAAAAATTGAGAGCTAAAAATCTAATTTATTTCCTTCTTATGCTATTTTTTTTAAATCAGGGGTAAGAAGATTGGGCATGATGTAGATTTTTTAATTACCAGCCCAGGATCAGCAGAGGATGAAGAGCAAGTTTTGCCCAAAGTGATAAACCTATGGGAAAAAAAGGTAAGAAGAAAGATGTTTGGACACTCAGGCGTTATAGGAGTACTGCTAAATTTGACACACTCATCCACCTTGTAATTGTGTCGTGAGCATCTAACCCAGTCTCAGTGGTTTACAATAGTTTGCACAGCACCAGTAGCATGCAGTGAGACTTACCTGCTTTGGGTCCTAGAATCCAGATTATGCACTTGTGTATACGCACGCGTCCTGTTACCAAAAGGGCCGAGGGCAACTCTCTGTGCAGGCCCTGCAGACGGCTCAGAGCCCTAAACAATGTGAAGGGCATGTGCTGCGAAGACCTGGGAGGGGTGAGCCGGGCAGAGCAAGCTAAGGGGTGGAGATCAGACTGGGATAAAACCAGTCTAAGAGGTGCCCCTGCTGCCTTGAACAATATGTTGGTTGATAACCACCTTGACTTTGTGCTGAGATGGGAAGAAGGAAGCTAATGCCAGTAGGCTGGGTCCAGCAGAGGTCATGGCTCAGGGCCCCCCACCCACTGGGATCAGATTTGCCATGGGCCACCTATTGCCCAGTGGAGGAAGCTAAGGATGACCCTGCAGCCATGGCCACCTGCCGGGCCCTGACTCCTGCCCGGTTCCAGTGAGAGCTCCGCTTCCCAAGGAGACCAGAGGGCCCTTATCCAAAGACGTACAGACCTGGGTGAGTTGAGGAGGCTGAGGCTGGTGTTTTTCTGGCATAGCTTTATTTTTCCCGAGTGATCTAGCATCTTCTGAGTGTGGACAAAGCTCCTTGATATGCCAGAGAGAGAAGACCTCAGATACAGTGAGAATAAGAAACACACAACCCTGGTGCCGGGAACACTAGAATTACTCATAAAGACCCAGCTTTGGAACTGGATCCAAATTCAGCCACGAGCCAACCCCCCCGCCCCCGCCCCACCCTCCATCTGTCGGGAGAGTGGATCCAGGTGGCCAGGAACCCTGAAAGTGAACATCATAGGCTGAGCCAGGGAAAGGCTGAATGGAGAAGCGTCAGCTCCACCGAGGCTGGCCCCACTGCTCCACTCAAGCAGGAAAGCTAAGAACTCTCGTGGACAGACATCACTCTGATGCACCCTGTCAGCCATGGCCTGGGCGGAGAGGGGGCTGCCTGGCCTCTCAGTTGGCAAGGGTGGACCAATGTGACCTCGGTATAGAGGCCCCACCATTCCCATGCTCTGAGACTGTTCCAACCCAAGGTGGGGTGGGGTTGGGAGAGGGGGACAAGGAGCCTCCTTTTCATTGGTCTTTCTTTAGTCACCAGGCAGCCATCCTGCTGGTCACCAAGCAAAGAGATGGGCAGGTGAGGGTGCAGACGGGCATTAAGCATGGGGGGTTTTAGATTTGGGATTGTTCAAGCACAGCCCTTCCACTGACTGGCTAGACGACCTGGAACTATGCTTTTATCTTTACAAGTTTCCCTTTCCTTATCTGTGAAACAGGGATAGCAAGCTTCCGTCATTAGTCAGAGGATTAACTGAGAGCATTAGATAAGGCCCTTGGCACAGCACTTGATAAATGCCTATTATACAGTGGCTTAAACAGTGGCCGGAGTTTGAGCAAGCTCCAGGAGATGGTGAAGGACAGGGAAGCCTGGCGTGCTGCAGTCCATGAGATCGCAAAGAGGCGGACCCGACTGAGCAACCGAACAACAAAATAGTGGCTGTTGTCGTGATCTCTCCTGCATAGTCGCGTATTGAATTCTGCAGAGGGACAGGCCTGTGCCGGGTGAGGGGACCCAGGCGAGAGCACAGGCAGCTGCTCCCCTTGGCTCTCTGACAAACAGGACCTCAGGGAGGAAACGGGGTGGGGCAGTGTGTGTCTCAGCACTACCTGCTTGCCCCCCGCCCCAAGCCCTACGGCTGCCCCAAACACCTCAGCTGTGAATCATGGTGGTTAATTTCCACCTCTGCCTCACTCCCTGTTCCCAATACCTCCCACCCCTGCCTTTCTTACAAAAATCTGTACTTTCCAGATTAAAATGATTCTATCTCATGCAGGTGTTACCAACCAGGGTTCTTGGCCTTCCCCAACCCATAGGAATTGATTAAGGCCAAACAAGAAATTTAGGCAAGGCTATACCGGGGGCCCTGCAGCAGCACAGAGGATCAGGAACAAACAACAAATTCCCTTACTTGCCCACTCCCTGGGGGGGGGGTGTGAGCTTGTTCCTTGTGTGGTGTGAGGGTAGGCGTGTGTCCAGGTCAAGCTCAAGGGGTGGTTTAGGTGGCTTGCTCACCTCTTAGGTGGTGGTGTGTGCAGGGGGCTTGAGCAGTATCCTACTTTTGCTCTTTAGCTCCAGGCTCCTCCAAAGTGGCAGTTGGGTTTTTTTTTTTGGTCTCTGTATCTTTTGTATCCAGAATCTGCCCAACTGTGCATGCACGCAATTATTTTTAGTCCTATATAGGAGAGGTATGTCCAGGTGCAAGCAGTGCAGTCCCAGGTCCCAGCCTGTCTCACAGGCACACTCTGAGCACATACTCACACAACACACATATACACAACCAATGTTTCAAAACACCTGAAGAACTAATGAACAGCCAAGGATGGGTATGAGTTTGAGTCTTCCACCAGTTGAAAGATCTCTTGTGGGAGGAAAAGAGCTTGGAGATACTGATCCTGGGGGGAGGGCACCATCCAGAAAGCTCCACTGGCTGCCAGCAATTCAACCCAAAGAGAGGAGGGTTGACTGAGTGTGGTCCAGGTTTATGCCTGGTGGGTGGCCCTTCTGTCTATGACCAGCCAAAGTGTGACTACTGTGTGGCCACAGTGCAGACACAGTTTACAACTTTTAGGAAGCCAGCTTTGCGGATTTTTTTTTTAAGGGGGAAGGGTTGTTTTATAAATTTGGCTTCAAGGTGAGACCGGTTGATATTTTAATAGCTTCCTTTTCAAATTTACATAATTTAAATAGCCAGGAAAGGCTGCTACACTGACTAATCTTAGTAAGTTTCATTAGAAAGCAGAATTGTGTCTTCCCTGAGCTGGTTATCAGATCTGTTTAGGGCAACAGTTACCTCCTGCACCAGAGGCTCTTCCTGACATTAGTGTTCCACCCTGCAGATGGTTTGATTCTTTCTCTCACCTTTTCTGGGATAGGCCCTGAGGGCTGGGTGCTCCCTTTACTGAGATCCACAAAAGGAAAAGTACCCCCTCCTCCAAGTGTTGAGTCCAGTTGAAACAATGTCTCTCGTGGGTGGGGGTGGATTGCAGAACGGATGTGAATGTGTCTAATAATAACAGTAAAGGGAGCCAGGCCTGCTCCAAGGGTGGTCCCTGGATCAGGAGCATCAGCAACACCTGGGAACTTACTAGAAATGCACCACCCCCACCCCACCCCACCCCACCCCAGCCCACCCCATCCCACCCCACCCCCCTGTGTGCTGAGTCACTTTAGTCTGACTCTTTGCGACCGACCCCATGGACTCTAACCCACCAGGCTCCTGGGTCCATGGGGATTCTCCAGGCAAGAATACTAGAGTGGGTTGCCATGCCCTTTTCCAGGGGATCTTCCTGACCCAGGGATCAAACTTGCTCTCTTTATGTGTCCTGCACTGGTGACTGGGTTCTTTACCAATAGCACCACCTGAGAAGTTCCCCCACCCCCACTGCCCATGAATCACTCTGGGGTCAGGGCCTCCAAAACTGTGCTGAAACAAACCTTTCAAATGTTCCTGATGATAATATTTGAGAACATCAGACCTAAAGAACCCAAGAACAAATCTTACATCCTAATAGCTGTGATTAGATTGTTTTAAGGCTATTTGTTCTTTTAGTTGCAACTCAGATTTAGCAGTTAATTGCATATTTCTGCTTCTCCCTACCCCACATCTGCCCTGTGTGGTGAGGAATTCCCACGGAGCAGATAAGTTGGAGGATGGCAGATTGCTGTGTGCAACCTTCTGACTAGGCAACGTTTAGAGATGTGCCACTAATTTTGTCCCTGTCTCTAAGGCAGGCAGAGTAACAATCCCAGAGTGCTTCTAGAAAGAGTGAGTCATCAGGCCCCAATGCAGGCTGAGCCTCCAGTCACACTCCTTTGGGCCCAAGTCGACCTAGTCATCAGTATAGTATGGAGGGACACTAAGTCAAAACAACTGCATATAACAGCTTGGCTTTTTGTTCAAGGTTGGTTTGGGAGTGAGGCAAGTTTCTGAGCACTGTCTATGATCAGATGCTTGGGGAGTGGATCCTCTGGCAGCTTTGCTATGAAGTGGCCTTGGTGTGGCCCCTCTAATTGTTAAATTCCTCTGCTGCAGAAGGAGGGTAATGCACCCACTCCTCGTCTTCCTCTGCTAGAGTCACCAGGTGGGCTCACGATGCAAGGACAGACGTACCCATATCCTCAAATGTGCAAAGCTTTCTTTAAAAGCATTCGTTAAGAGCCCAGTATAAAGTCTCTGACCCTCTGCATCAGGGACTCTTGCTGACATCTTTCTGTTTATTTTCAGGGATTACTCTTATATTATGACCTTGTGGAGTCAACATTTGAAAAGTTCAAGTTACCAAGCAGACAGGTGGATACTTTAGATCATTTTCAAAAATGCTTTCTGATTTTTAAATTGCACCATCAGAGAGTGGACAGTGGTAAGTCCAACCAGCAGGAAGGAAAGACCTGGAAGGCCATCCGTGTGGACCTGGTCATGTGCCCCTACGAGAACCGTGCCTTTGCCCTGCTAGGCTGGACTGGCTCCCGGGTAAGTGCTGCCTTCATCGCTGGGATGGCCTTAGCTTTCCATAAGAGGTAGACTAGCTCTACCTGAGGCCAGGGGAGAGACAATGGCGGGGGTGGTGGTTGCGAGACGATGGACAGGGAAGGAGGAGATGGTGGACAGGAGAGAAGAAAGTGCCCAGAAATCTCTGAATCAGGGCATTCCACTTGCACACGGTCAGCTGAGACAGATGCCTTTAGAATAGGTATTTTCAAAATGTGATCCCCTGACCAGCAGCATCAGCCTTACCTGCTTACCAGGTTAGACCTGTGAACACTCCAACCCCGCCCCAGACCTACTGAATTAGGAACTCTGGGGGTGGAGGCCAGCAATTTGTGTTTGAAAGAACCCTGCAGGTATGAGAACCACTGAAGCAGAGAAAGCAGCCTGGTGGCTAAGGGCACAGGTTTGGCTTATCCCAGACCTGGTCACAAGCCCCTGCTCTGCCTCTGACCAGCTAGCTGATCTTCGTCAAGTTCCCCTGGGCTTTAAGACTCAGTTTTCCATCAGGAAAGTTAGGGCAAAGACAATGCTACCCCCCTGGGTTGCAGGGATCCAGTGAGATGAAGCTGGCAAAGCCCTTAGCACCACGCTGGACATGGGACCAGTGCTGGCCAAGCAGCAGTCCCCAGCTCCCACCATGTGATATTCACAGACATGGTACCTGTGGTCTGTTCCATTAGCTTATGTTCCACCCTCCTACTAACACCCCACTCTGTTTCCTATGTAGCTAGCTGTTGCTTTGAGTGGCACACATCATTAGAGGATTTTGTATGATAAATGACATAGAAATTAATTGTCCTTAACTTTGAATTAAATGTCAAGTGTGTTTGCTTTGGGCTGGAATTATTTCAGCGCACAATCTCAGCACTAGAACTTCTTACCCTAATCAAAAATATTGGCTGGCATCTTTCATTCATAAAAAGTAGGAAAGCTGATGAAACAATACATCATAAATGCAGCTTGGGAAATTTAATTTTGCCTTTTTACCCAAAGATTTCAGGGCCTGGGAAATGTCCTCAAGCCAATTAATCTGTTAATCTCACCTCAGTTTGGGTTCACTAATTTAACCAGGTTGTTTCGTCTACTAAGCTGACAAAGCTTCCTTCACACCTTTGTGCACTAAAGATTTCCAGAGCAGAATACATCCACAGGGATACATTAAGCTGAGATTTTTCTAGAGCCATCCAGTGCAATTTATGGACTGGGTCCAGAGTTCATTAGGTTTTTGTTTTTGTTTTGTAAAGAAGCTTCTGTTTTCCTCTGAATCTTATTTCTTCAAACTCGAACTGTTTGTCAGCATGGCTTTATTGGCTGAAGTTCCTTCAAGGGTGTTGTCCTTGTTTGTGTCAGATGCTGAGAGGAGGCACACTCCGCTTTGGAAACACATGGATGATGGTGACCAGGTGCCCAGGCTAACCCAGTCTCTTTACTAGCCCGGATGGCTCCCTTTCACCAACTTTAAAAAGCATCTCCTCCTTAAGACACCTTATTGCCATTTCCCAGAAAATTGTCAGAAGAAACATGCATATTTACAAAGCTACACATGTGAATGGCGCCCTCTAGAGTTTTTCAGTGACCAGCTTGCACAACGGTATGCAGCAGCAGTAGGCTAATCTCTGAAGTCTGTTGTGACCAGCGAATGATACAGCCAGACTTAATGCCACTGCCCTTCTTTATCTGAAACGAAAGACAACATCCTTACCCTTCCTATTTCACAGGGTTGTTGAGAGAAACTAAGGAGCTTGTAAAGCAGAAGGCAGAAACATCCAGGGTAAAGAGTCTGGGATTCAGGAGTCTGAATCCTAGCTCTGTTGTTGGCTGTGTGGCCTTGGGTAAATTGCTGAGGCTCTCTGAGCTTCCTTTCTTCATTTGAAAAATGACGCTAATAACAGTACCAACCTCATGGGATTGTCAGGAGAACTGAATGAGACAGTGCCTTCATCTTAATACAGTTCTGAGGCTAATTGTATACGTAATGCTGTTCTTTTAGAGATAATGTTAGACTCTTTTAGAAGTTGTTAAGTACTAGTGATAATAGAGCCAATCAGAAATTAATGTAAAGCAAAAAATCAGCCCAGCACCCAGCACAGGGTAAGCACTCTGTAAACATTAACTAGGATATCATTGCCTGGATTATAGCCATGGCTGTTCTAAATTGTTGCTTGCCCCCTGACTGATCCTGTCATCATAAGTCAGATCATCAGTCCCCTGCTCAAAATCTGGCAGGGGTTGCCCATTCAACTCAGAGAAAAAGCTTTCCAGCGGTCACAGGCCCTGCGTGGTCTTCCCACCCCCTCATCTCTCTGGACTCCTCCCTCTACTCTCTCCCGACCCCGGCCAGGCTCACTCCTCCCTAAGGCCTGTGTTCTAGCTGTTCCCTCTGCATGGAGTGCTCCTACCTGAGTCCACCTGGCTAACTCCTTCACCTTGGGCAAGTCCCTCCTCAGATCCTGTGTCCTTCATGAGGCCTGCCCTCTACCCAGCATCATCTGTTAACATATCAGTCAGTTCAGCCGCTCAGTCGTGTCCGACTCTTTGTGACTCCATGAACTGCAGCACACCAGGCTTTCCTGTCCATCACCGACTCCCAGAGTGTGCTCAAACTCATGTCCATCATGTATTTACTTATGCTGTTACCGTGTCTTATCTGTGTCCCCTGCTCGCGAATCCAAGCCCCACCAGGGCAGACATCATTGTTTTCTTCGCTGTTATATTCCAAGCACCCAGAACACACCTAGCATACAGTAGGTGCTCAATAAATGTTGATTTAATCAATATTATTACCCTCCAAATGGAAGACATCATGATAATTCCTAACAATCCATGCAAAAATGCTTCAAGGGGGTTGGCAAAGGAGTCCAGGAATAGATCTCTCAGCACACAGAACTGAGGAGCCAGGGGCAGCCTTTCACTGCTCCAGTTACCCCGTCCTTTCCAGCCTTCCCATGCCCAGTGTGAGCAGCCGCTGCTGTAAGTGCTGGGGGGACCTAAAGCCCCGGGCTGTGGAGGCCATGTGCTAAGCAGCACTCCCATGCTTTCACAGACCAGCGGCTGCTCCACCCAGAATCTGCTTCACCCTGACTCTTCCACATCCCTAGCCCCCCCCTCCACTGCCTTATAAAGGACTTCAGGTTGGAAAGTCTGTCTTCACACATCCAGGTCAGGAAGGGCAGGTCCCAGTCTTCGCCAGCTTTCCCATACTCACCACTTCAGTTCAGTTCAGTGGCTCAGTCTGTCTGACTCTTTGAGGCCTCCCTGTCCTTCACCAACTCCTGGAATTTACTCAAACTCATGTCCATTGAGTCAGTGATGCCATCCAACCATCTCATCCTCTGTCGTCCCCTTCTCCTCTTGCCTTCAATCTTTTCCAGCATCACGGTCTTTTCAGATGAGTCAGTTCTTCACATCAGGTGGCCAAAATATTGGAGTTTCAGCTTCAGCATCAGTCCTTGCAATGAATATTCAGGGAGTGAGGGAATGAAGTCTCTCAGTCGTGTCTGACTCTTTGCGACCCTATGGACTGTAGCCTACCAGGCTCCTCTGTCCTTGGGATTTTCCAGGCAAGAGTACTGGAGTGGGTTGCCATTTCCTTCTCCAGCGTATCTTTCCAACCCAGGGAGGGAACCTGAGTCTCCCACTTTGTAGGCAGATGCTTTACCGTCTGAGCCACGAGGGAAGTCCAGGACTGATTTCCTTTAGGATGGACTAGTTGGATCTCCTTGCAGTCCAAGGGACTCTCAAGAGTCTTCTCCAACACCACAGTTCAAAAGCATCAATTTTTCGGTGCTCAGCTTTCTTCACAGTCCAACTCTCACATCCATACATGACCACTGGAAAAACCATAGCTTGACTAGAGAGACTTTTGTTGGCAAAGTAATGTCTCCATTTTTTAATAAGCTGCCTAGGTTGGTCATAACTTTTCTTCCAAGGAGTAAATATCTTTTAATTTCATGGCTGCAGTCACCATCTGCAGTGATTTTGGAGTCCAAAAAAATAATGCCACTGTTTCCACTGTTTCCCCATCTCTTTGCCATGAAATGATGGGACCAGATGCCATGATCTTAGTTTTCTGCATGTTGAGTTTTAAGCCAAATTTTTCACTCTCCTCTTTCACTTTAGTGCAATGATTACATGTTATTGTTGTTCAGTTGCCCAGTCATGTCTGACTCTTTGTGACCCAATGGATTGTAACACGCCAGTCCTACATGTCCCTCACCATCTCCAGAAGTCTGCCCAAGTTTATGTTCAATGATTCCAGGTTTGCTCCCTAATCCTACATGGAAAGGACATTTCTAGATCTGTGCTTCTCTCAGGAAAATTAATCTCAACAACAACTTTATTCATTGTGCCTCTTTTCCCAAGGTTTTCCTGTCGTCCATCTAAGGCTTCAGGTTTTTCTCCCTGGAGCCTCAGATCAGCCCATGCTGATCACAGGAGATGCTATTCTGAAGTAGCCGGCCCAGACCATCAGTTTTATAGAGGTTCACAGAGGATGTTACAGCCAGAGGAGACCTTACTCACGCACTTCCTCCACCTTCCTATTTAACCAACCAAGATTCAGAGAGGTTGGGTGACTTGCAGAGAGATACAGAGCCAGATAGGGACCAGGCTGGAAGCTGGTCTCCTGACTCCTCATCCCCGTTTACAATAGTTGTATTCCAAATAGAAAACAACACCAAACTATTATTTATCTAGCATTTACTCTGGACCAGGAATTATTCTGGACATAATCCTCACAATACCTGTTTATTCACTGAGCAAACATTTACTGTGCATCATCTGTGTGCCAGGCACCATTAGGAGGGAATATGCTTATGAACAGAACAAATCAGTTCTTATTTTCATGGAGCTTACAATCTAATGCCTAGGTGTGAGCATGGTGCTTTGTCATGGTGGACTATTGCCCTGGGGGAGAAAATTCACTTGGAGAATGTTTAATGGAGATAGATATTTCATTGTTGTTGTTGTTTAGTTGTTAAGTTGTGTCCGACTCTTTTATGACCCCATGGACTGTGGCCTGCCAGGCTCCTCTCTCCATGGGGTTTTCCAATCAAGAATACTGGAGTGGGTTGCCATTTCCTTCTCCAGGGGATCTTCCCAACCTAGGGATCGAACCCACATTTCCTTCATTGGCAGGGGGACTCTTTATCACTGAGCCACCAGGGAAGCCCTAGATATTTCATTATAGGGATTTAAATATCTTTAGACAGATAATACTGAAGACATTCTAGACTTGATAGTGATTTTATTTTAATGATCTCTTATCCAGCAGTTTGAGAGAGACATCCGGCGCTATGCCACACATGAGCGGAAGATGATGCTGGATAACCACGCTTTGTATGACAAGACCAAGGTAGCTCTGTTTCCCTGAGATGGGCCACTTTGATCCTCATCCCCAAGTCTGGTTCCCTGAGCACTTTTCCTGAACTGATTCTAGTGTCCAGGTTCAGCTTCCTTTGCCCCAGGTGCCCCATTCCCACAGATCACAGCTGAGGGCAGCTGGAAAGATCCTGACAGGAGCACAACCCCCACAGGACCCAGAATGCACCTCGGAGGCTTTGGGCTCAATGATGCTGAGCTAGCTGGGTCTCCAGAACCAGGCCAGCAATGAATTTAAATTGAGCTTGATATATCCTAGGAGTTTGCAAAGAATAACTCCAAAGAAAATCAAAGATCCACCCCAAATCACAAATATCACTCAAGTATCCTTCAAATGTAGTGGGAAGAAGAATTCTGAGTGACCACATGGGTCATTAATGAGAATCAGCTGCAAGAAGGAGAGCAAAAGAGGTGTCCTGAGAGGTAGACTCACACACCATAGAGACTTACTTTGTGCGCTAGTCCTACAGTGGTCATGATCCAAATGCTGCTTCAGCATAATGATTGCTGCATGAATTAGGAAGAGTTATTATAAATATTCAACTGTACTTATAGTGATCAAGGACACTATAGGAAGCTCCGAGTAGGAAGAAGATACAAAATGAGTAAAAGTAATGGTTTTTATCCTCTGGGAGTTTAGTCTAAATAAAGTGTATTTAGTTAGAGCCTGTCTCACAAAAAATCAGAAACCCAATACAAAATGGCAGTGGCAAAAAAAAAAAAAAATGGCTTATGTACTGTGACATCTGGGGTAACATGGACTTCAGGTGTGACTGTATCCAGGTGCTCATGCAATTTTTTCCTCAGTGTTGGTGTCACTCTCAGGCAGGGTTTTCCCATGAATCCTATCCTTCTAGCTTAGCTATACCAACAGAAAAGAACTTCCTTCCTAATAGTTCCAGCAAGCCCTCGCTAATGCTCACAGGCCAGACCTGGGCTGTGTAGCCATCCTTGAACCCTTTTTCATGGCTCTGATTGATCAGGCTTGTGTCATGTGCCCCTCCTTGGAGGTAACCCTCAGGGACTGAGAATAGGGAGGTGTGGTTTTCCAAAGAGAAATCAAGGTGCTGCTGTCATAAGAGAGGGCTGTGGATGCTGGCAAGAAAGCATCAATTATGTAGCATGTGAGTGGAGGCAGCTTCACCTAACATGATCTAGGAAACTTACAAACTGACACATAACAAATAATTCAAAGTAAGCAAGTGCTTCCTATGTGCCCAGAGTTGTGCTATAGACCAGAAGGACTACAGGGAAGTGCTGCTTGATGTAACAGACCATGGGGTTGGGAGCCTGGTGGGAGTGGAGCTGGGTGGAAGGCCAGGAAGAGAATCTAGCATATACAAGCATCCCATAATTGCCACTGCTCCTTACCAATGCCAGCAGTATGTAATTCTGGCTGCAAGTGAGAATTTCCCAGAGCCTTTAAATAGATGAATGACAAGACCTCTCTAGATCTTCTGATTTCGTTGGGCTGGGTTACAGCTCCGTTTTCAACATTCTTTTAAAAGCCTCCTTCAGGTAGTTCTAATGAACACTACGGACCAATAGGAAAAGTATCAAATGCCTCTAGTTGAATATATAAGGCTGTCATAGTTTTACCTTAATTTATTAAGTTTTTGGGGGGTGAAAATATAAAAATTACAGAAGTCAGGTAAGATGAATTTTTATCCTCAGAAGCAGGGAACTGTGTTTTGGCAGTAATTCATTGTGACAAGACAATTTTACAAGTAACATTTTTACTATGTCAGCTTAGAGGTACTTAACAAAAAATATCATAGTGCACATATGTCTTCTTATGCTTTCAGAGGATATTTCTCAAAGCGGAAAGTGAAGAAGAAATCTTTGCACATCTGGGATTGGACTACATTGAACCATGGGAAAGAAATGCTTAGGAGAAAGTTGTCAACTTTTTTTTCTATTTTTTTTTTTCGGGTTAGACAAATTATGCTTCATATTATAATGAAAGATGCCTTAATCAAGTTTGGGATTCTTTACATTTTACCAAGATGTAGATTGCTTCTAGAAATAAGTAGTTTTGGAAACGTGATCAGGCACCACCTGGGTTATGCTCTAGCAAGCCGTTTGTAAGACTGTTGTGTAGAACTCGCAATGCATTTTCCATGGAAACGGTGTTGTAATTGGTGGCTCATTTCCAGGGAAGTTCATCAAAGCCCACTTTGCCCACAGTGTAGCTGAAATCTGTTTATTTCCAATAAAAATAGGAAAAAACAAGATGGTCAAGTCTTTTTTATTCACTCACATATTTTAAAATATTCTTAAGCAAAAATGTAACAAAATGAAAGAATTAATGATTGTAAGGTTTACCTTGAGAGGAGGAACAGGTTTAATTAGAAGGTCAGAGATTCTAAGGGGGGGTTGAGTCCCTCCTGGAGCTTTTGGAGGAAAGGGACTGACTCTCAGCTCAGGTCAGAGCCTACTTCTCTGTGACCTGCAGCTGTGTCCCGAGGCATATCGGCAGGAGGCCAAGGATGGAATGCATTCTCACTGCTTTCACACAGAAGGAAGCACCATCTCTCAAACGGCCATCTCTGAGTCTTTCCAAGGAGTTCATCTCTCTTGCCCTCTTCACCTTATGGTACCCACAGGAAGGGACGCAGCCTTTGGAACTGCAAGGCTGCAGATCCATTTGGAACGCCGGCCTCCTCTAGGAGGTCATCGACTCCATGACTGGAAAGGACCCTAAAGGTCATCTGTTCCAGCTGCTTCTGTGTCCCCAGCCTGCTGGAGGACTGGGAGGCCTCCCCATGGTCCTAGCCCTTTCCTTTTAGCTCCCTCAGAAGAGAGGATGGTGAGATCCGGGACCCCCTAGAGAAGCCTGATGCCCTGCCCTGGGCACAGGCGAAGAGCCTCGTTCCCTTCCTGGTGCTGGAGCCTGGGGCTGGGATGTGTATCAGCTAGTGTTGCCCCAAATGCAAACTATCCCCAAACTCGGTTGCTTAACACAGCATAGCTCTGCACACGAGCTGGGTGTGTGGTGGAGCTAGGCGGGCTTCTGCTCCTCCGATTCATCCTCCTCCTCCTCCTGGGACCCCTGGGGTAACCCAGCCCTCTCCTTCTCACCTTGCCAGCCGAGACACGGGAGCAAGCAAAACCCAGTGGACAAGTGCTTTCCAAGTTGTACAACTGTTGTCACTATTCATTTCCAGAAATGCCTCACCACCCTAAACAGAAACTCTGTGTTCATTAAACAATAACTCCCCAATTCCCCTTCCCCTGGGCCCCTGGTAACCTTAGTTCTACTTTCTTTCTGTATGAATTTGCCTCTTCTGGGTACCTCATGTAAGTGGAATCATACAGTACTTGTTTTGTTTCTGGCTTATTTTGCTTAGCATAATGTTTTCAAGGTTCATCTAGGTGTAGCCATTATCCCTTTGGTGGTGGTCTAGTCGATAAGTCATGTCCTACTCTATGTGACCCCATTGACTGTACCCAGCCAGGCTCCTCTCTCCATAGGATTTTTCCAAGCAAGAATACTAGAGTGGGTTGCCATCTCCTTCTCCAGGGGATCTTCCTGACCCAGGGATCGAACCTGGGTCTCCTGTGCAGAAGGCAGATTCTTTACTGACTGAGCTACCACGGAAGCCCATCATCCCTTTAGAAGGCCGAGTAATAGTCCATTGTATGTCTAATATGCCACATTTTATTTATTCACTCATCAGTTGATGGACATTTGGGCTGTTTCCACCTTTTGGCTATTGTGAATAATGCTCTGTGAACACTGGTATACAGTATCTCTTTAAGACCCTGCTTGCTTTTAAATATAAACCTAGAAGGGGAGTTGCTAGATCACAGGGTAATTCTATACTTTTTGGAGGAACCACTTACTCTTTTCTGTAGTGGCTGCACCATTTTGCCTTTCTATCAGTGGTATACAAGGTTTCTACTTTTTCCACATCCTTGCCAAGATTTATTTAAATCTCTTTTGGTTTTCTGTTGTTTTTTGATTTGTTTGTTTTTAATGAGAGTGATTTTAGAGGATGTGAAGTGGCAGATGAAGACTTTCTGCCTCTCCTGATGGTTCAGGTTGAACACAATTGTATACTGGACCGGGTTTCAGGTATATGCACCTGGGGTTTCTGGCAAAGGTGAGCTGGGGAAACGGGGGTGGGGTGGAGGGTGGACACAGCCACTCCCACTGAGAAAGGCCTCATGGTCTGATCACATGGCAGGTCATGTTCATTAGCCTCAACTCCCCAAATCTACCAAGTTTTCTTGTAGTCTCTTTCACTGCCCCAGAATTGCCCACATATGATATTTGAGATCATTTAGGTAGCATGAAGATGAATATCTGACCTATATAATATATATTCACTGAGTGCCTACTAAGTAACTCATTTTTCTAGACATAGGACATGGGATAGAACATAAAAACCTCTCTGATTATAAGTATGGGACTTATATCCTAGAAAGCTGTTTATTTTCATATGTGTTACAAGTAATGCTTTTCCATTTATGGTAGTGGCAGAAAGCTTCCCTTTCGAGTACACCTAAGTAAGAAAAAAAGAGAATCAATGTAAGGGAAAACATGTAATAAACATTACTAGTGGGATGGGGACATGGCAAGAACTGGGAGAGAGGATAGAGGAGCACAGGGAGGAGGCGCTGATGCCTGGGGAACGTGCAGGTGGGCTACTTGCCTTAACACACCAACTACCAGTCCTGAGGCTCTCAAGGGCCTCATCATACAAAAGCCCCAGGAGGTCCATGAGGGAGGAGGTACCCCATGAGAACAGCAAAAATTCTAAGGGGTTTCTTGAGCTAATTTTCTTATTTTGGAAGGCTTGTTAAGAATTCCACAAATTCCTAAAGCTGCACAGGAATTTTTGTTTTTGATCAGAATTTTATCAATCAGGGTGTCACTATTAACTGGAACTCAGCCTTCCCCAGTGCTTCCTGCTTTGGGAGCAGAGCACCCTCTGGTGGCAGAAAAAGAATCTTCAAGTATTTCTACAATAGAAACATATCAAGTCAGAAGTCCAAGAATATTGAGCAGGAACTGGGAAACATCCTAGTCTATCCTTCTTGCTGTGCAGGTCTGGTGAGAAGACTTGGCCTGCCCAACGTCACACAGTTAATGCCAGAGTTTCTGTTGATTCAGCAGAACTATGTACACAGGCCGGGCTTCCTTAATTACTAGCTGTGTGACCTTGAACAAGTTACCTAACCTCTCTGATCCTCGATTTCCTCTTTTGTGAAATCAAGATGGTAATGGTTCCTCCCTTTGTATCTGCTGGAGGATAGATGAGCTAACACTGTAAAGTGCTTCATCTGTGATCCCTTGGACTAGGAGGGACACCTCAGCGGGGAGACACAGGTTCGATCCCTGGGTTGGGAAGATCCCCTGGAGAAGGAAATGGCAACCCACTCCAGTATTCTTGCCTGGGGAATCCCATGGACAGAGGAGGCTGGCGGGCTACAGTCCACAGGGTTGCGAAGAGACAGAGTCGGACACGACCAGGCTACTAGATGACAAGAGCAACAACAAAGAGCAAGTTATTTCCCTCAGGGAAAGTAACCTTTCTGTGCCCTGCCAGGACTTCACATGCTGTACTTTGAACCAGTAAGTACCAAGCCCCCGAAGCCAGAATGGGAGGTAGGAAAGATTAGGACCAGTGTGCTTATTCTTGGACTCCCAGACCTGAGACTGTCTGGATCTGGCTGGGACCAGCTATACCAGCTGAAACTCTATGCCCGAGCCCGACGGTGATGGGGCAAAGGCCCTGTCCCATGACTTCGGTAGTTTCTTGGAAGTCAAAGGCTACTTCACAGGGACTTTCAGGTACTCACTGACCTTTACCTCTTAAGGACAGGTGGAGCCATAGTGGGAGTCAAGTTTATCTGTGTTGAATGCACTTTTTATCAATTAATTCACACTGTCATGTTTTAAACCCTTCTCTGCAACGTGTATATCAAAGGACCCAGAACAGTACAGAAACCTGCCTCTGTTATCAATTAAATTCACTATTCTTAACTCTTTTTGCAAAGTTAAATCATCTCTCAAAGCAGTTTGCTTTACAATCTTGAGGACCAATAAAATTATCTTTGTAGAGTTTCAGTTTTCTTATCTGTAAAACAGGCTTGAATAACACCCACACTACATTACATCCTGGATTTGGCGTAAAAACTCAAGCAAAATCATGAATGAAAAGTGCTTTGAAAACTAAAAAGTGCTATAAATGTAACAGGGATTAGTCTTTTTCATATAATCTGAGCATAGTTCAGGAACCTGAGGACTACTTCCCAGAAAAGCAGGCATATGATTTAAGAACCCAGAGCAGTCTCTCATGGATTGCCGTTGTAAATCCAAGGGCAAGAATATTCTATTCTTTACAGAAATCCAGCTCCTTTGACTGCAGCTGGAAATGAAGAAGACTCTTCGTGACCCTCACTGTGGTCCACTTGGATTTGAACAGAACTGCAATGCATTTTCATCCTACATGTCGCTGGTATATAAAGTATAACATTCTCACAAGAAACAAGTCCAAAAATGTGTTTAGCTTTCCCTAACCCAGGAGCAGGAAGCAGAATGAGGTGAGATTACTTTTACCATCTCTACCTTCTTGCTGCAAAATTAATGATGAAGATGATAATGGACAGGACCCCCTTTGGAGGCTGACTGAGTTTCCAACATGACACATCTAGTGTGAAGTACACTAAAACCCACACTCAGCCTTCTTGTCCATAATTCTTATGAGGTATTCTTAACAAATAATCTCCATGACTTTCATGTAAACAGGCATCTCCATAGGAAAGTTTTTTTTTTTTAACTCAATTTTCCTTTTTCTATAAAACTAAAAAGGCACAACCATTACTAATTTCAAGTCAATTTGTATTAAAAGTGTGGCAGCAAGTCACTTAAGAAAGGTTGAAT